TTAAACAATAAACTGAAAGTATATTTCAGATCCCATGTCTATAAATGTTAAAGGTGTGTGATTATTTGGAGAAGGAATATATCAGCTATCCCTAGTAATTTCTTCTTTGTGAAATCAAATTGACCAGGATAAGAGAACAATTCCATTGGTGTGTTCTGCCTTGTGGAGCGAGGTGTCTACATTGACCCAAGTGTGCAGGTCACACAGCCTTTGACTAGGGAGTGTAAGAGACGGATTTGTTTGGAACCGAGGCTGAAAGACTCTTTTTGGCTGTTTATACATAGAATAAGGATCTGCCACAAGCTTGTTCTGCTCAAATGCAATGATTTTGTCAAACAGATTCTCTTCCATTAAGACAAGACTATTGCACAAGTTCTAACACCTAGCCAAAACTTTTGCCATTGTGTTTTTTTGAAGTACAAATCTAAGAAATTATTTTATTTTTAGAAAAAATTTTCCTCTGTGCCCTTAGTATTTTAGAGTGCATTTTTCTGATGTAGCTTCTTTGCCCAATAAAAAGTTGGATAATATATTATTTGTTTTTTAATTCAAATATTTCAGGTCAGCATAAACTCTTCAGCCAATAACAATAGAGCTTCATTCCACACATTGTTAGTTGCATTTTGGGAGACTTCAAGTGCCAAGAGATGAGTTAGTCACACTTTCTAGTTCATAATGTTCAATCATTATCAGTCTGGTCAAGGCCCTTCTCTTCTTTTTCTTGATTTTTTTTCCAGTTCATTCCTGACCTCATTTCCATTTCCTCTTTCCCCACAGGCAGCTATTCTAATGAGTTTGATACAAGTCATTGAATGTATAAATATCTTTGAAAAACACATAAACTCCATAGTACACATCTAACATATCTTACCCAGCCATTCCCTAATAGATCTTGTTTGACACCAGCGCCTATGAAATAGTTAGGAAAGTGTAGTGCTGGGTCTAGGGTACATATGCTAAATTCCTCCAAATACTACAAACTGAACTTATCGGTTATGGATTCCCACTAAAGCCCCCAAGTCTCACTGTCTTAACAACACTTAGTATTATTGAAAATTCTAATTTCTACCAACCTGATAAGTATAAAGGGATATATCATTTTAATTTGTGTTTCTCTGGTTATTATGGAGGGTGACCATTCTACCATATATTATTAACCACATGAAGTTCTCTTCTATTAATTACCTTTTCACACCTTTTCCCAGGATTTGAATTTGCTAAATATATTCAGAGCATATCCACCATGTTTTGAGTAAATAATGATTGGAATGAATTAGGATGGTTACCTATATAGCATTTTTTTGTCTTAAAATATGGCATAAAAGTGGAAAATTAGGCCAGGTACAGTGGCTCACACCTGTAGTCCTAGGAGGATTGCTTGAGCTCAGAAGATCTAGATCAGCCTGAGCAAAAGTGAGACCCTGTCTCTACTAAAAATAGAAAAATCAGCCAAGTGCTGTGGAGTGTTCCTATAGTCCCAGCTACTCTAGAAGCTGAGGCAAGAGGATCCCTTGAGCCCAGGAGTTTAAGGTTGCAGTGAGCTATGATGATGATGACACCAACACACTCTATCCAGGGTGATAGAGCAACACTCTGTCTTTGAAAAAAAAAAAGAGATGGAAATTAGATTACTTAGTGAAATTTTCAGATAGTAAGAATTGTTAAATATTGGTTCAAATCACAGTTTTACACCTTAGTTGCTGGTGACTTGTAGCAAGGTACTTTCTGTATGTCTCTGACTTTGTGTGTGTGTGTGTGTGTGTGTGTGTGTGTGTGTGCGCGCGCGCGCACGTGCGCACATGTGTGTGTGTAAAATAATAATTGTGGCTTATTGTGAGAGGTTCATTGTTATTTGCTGTAAGATTACTTGTATAAAGTTTGCAGTACAATGCATGGATAATTGTAGGTGCTCCATAAACATCAGTTTCTTCTTATTCTGTCTGATGTGTATAAATAACTCAATAAACAAAAGCTCATAATATTCATGTCATCATCATCATGGTTTGGAAGGATGTAGGAAAAACCTTACCTGAAGATAAATGTAGAATATTTGTCTTCTTAAGATCTTTTCCAGCCCTGTGTATTCATAGAATTCACTCACACAAATTTGCCTAAACTTTAGTGGTGATGGGTTATCAGATTTCTTATATTCTCTTGCAGGGCTGATAAATATCTGATGTTCATCATTCTCTTAAAATCTTGTAAGACCATTTCTTTGGATGTTTTCTGTGCTGATTTTAAAATTACCAAATCAAACTTTAAAAAATCCAGAAATGTTAACTGAGGCCAAATTCCTTCCATCTTTTCTTCCTCCCTCCCTCTTTTCTTCTTTCTCTCCCTTTCTCTTTCCCCTCCCCCTATCTTCCTTCCTTCCTCCCTCCTCTCTCTCTCTCATTCTTTCCTTTAAACTCTTCTTCTTTCTTTCTTTCTATGGAGATGCTATTTCTTTTTATAGCTCCTTTATAACCAAACACTTTATATATTAGTTATGTATTGCTGGCTAATAAATTATCACAAACTTAGTATCTTAAAATAACACACATTTATTATCTCACAGTTTCTGTGAGTTAAGAGACTGGGCATGTCTTAGTTGGGTCCTTTGCTTAGGGTCTCACCAGGCTGCAAGCAAGAAGTCAACTGGGTTGCATTCTCACCTGTGGAATAATCTGTTTCCATGTTCATTAGGATTTCTGGCAGAATTAATTCTCTCACAAGCTGTAGAAATGAGGGCCCTGGCTTCTTGCTGCATGCTGGCTGCAGGTTGCCCTCAGCTCCTCAAGGCCACCCTCAGTGCCCAGAAGTCACCTGCAGCTCCTTGCCACATGGGCCTCCCCAACATGGCTACTAACTTCAACAAGCCTGCCAGGAGAGTCTCTAGAGAAGTCTGCTAGCAAGAGAGAACCTTATGCAAACGTAACGTAATCACAAGCGTGACACCTCATGACCTTTGACATATTGTCTTGGTTAGAGGCAAGTCACAGGTCCTGGCCACATTCAGTGAGAAGGAATGACACAAAGGCGTGAATACCAGGAGGCAGAATCACAGAGAGCCCTCAGAGTGTTTCTGCCACATGCCTCCGGTAACACCACCTGCAAGTAGACAAATAATGACAGAAAGCTCTGCCCACTTGTGTTATGCTCTGTCAACTACTTACTGAAAAATCTCAAAACTTTGTAAATTGGGTAACTATTCAATTCTTTACATTTATTTCCACTTGTATCTCTTATTCTTTAACATGTGTTTTCCACTCCACTTTTTCATATCAATTTCTATATGAATACTTCCCTCCATTTCTGCTTCCTTTCTTCTTTCTATAAATGCTTATTTAGCCCCTTTTATAGCTTTAAACACTATTTTAAGTACTGGGAATACAATGGTAAAAAAAAAATACCTAATTAGTCTTCATCTTCATAGAATGTACAAATTACTAGGGAACCAACATTATATAGACAATTCCAAGATAATGTCACAAAAGTTCTGAGACAGAAAGCCCAAGATGATGCTTGGGCAACCCAACCTGGGAGGGATACCCAACCCATACTGGAGGGGAGAAGAAAGACTTCTCATAGGAAGTGACTGCAACATTTTACTTAAAAACATAAAACAGTAGCAAAGCGATGGAATGCAAAAATCTACACTGAGGACTAAATATTTATGACCTAAAGAGCAAGCCAAATTATCTTTATTTTCATATGCCTGCTTGAGATTATATTAATAGTTTAAGCTTCAGTTAATAAGTACATAGAGTTTTAGTGATGCAATAGTTTTTTTTTAAAAAAAGAGGGTCTATAAATAAACTCATTAAGTATCATTTAATAAAAATTATTATTAGCTATCTAAACTTGGGCAAAACTCTTTATGTCTCTATGCTTCAGGTCTCTCACCTATAAAATGGGTTGGGATTGGTAATTTCTAAGGTATTTAACTAGTCTGAAATTCCATGAGTCCTTATAATCCTATGAATCAGTAGGATTGACAATGGCATGTTATGTTAACAGGAATGATGCTGCTGGAAGACACTTCAGCTGAGATCCAAAACTAGTTAATCTTTTAGTTGGTCCAGGCAGGACCTCCACTAGCAAGGCTTCTATGTGAATTATAAAAAGGCGCCCCCTTCTGGTAGACACAGCACAACAAGACATCCTTCTAGGCACGAAGCTTTTCAACAGCTGTGAAGGATTGGTTTCAGGTGCCCAGATGCCTTTGTATAGAATAGGGGAAAAGTACATGATGGTCCCGAGGTCAGTAGTATATCTGGTCATTCGTGACCATTCGAGTTTCCAGCTTCATAAGAAACTAGGCATGTTCTGGCAGAGGACTAGGTAGTGATTTGTCCTCTGTCACTACCACCTTGTATGCATGCAAATTCCTGCACACCCCAGTTTAGAAACTGAGGTGCTCTTGGATTCTTTTTAACACCATTTACCTGGGCTCCTAACAGTTTTGAAAGCAGAATTGTGTGTTTGCATAAAAAAAAAATCTATTTCAGTTTTTTCCTTATCTAGTATTTTTACAGGCGTTGCTATAATTACACTTAAGATGTTTTGAAAATGGCAAAATGATCAGAGTCGTACAAGGTGAAGGCCACTGTCTATCAGTGTGGATTTACCATTTGCCCCTGCTGGGGGAAGACTCCTGTTGCAGCCCCTCCTCTGCCCCAGAGCCGACAGTCAGCATTTCATCCCCTTCTGGAGAAGGCAGGTACCCCTCCTCAGTCTTCCCAGGGACTTGTTACCCACATCGCAGGCTGTGAGTCATCTCCCACCAGTGGGGTAGGCTGCGCCCCTGGTTGCCTGGTGCCTATGCAGGAGTCAGTCCGTCCATTTAAATCCCCACTGGTTCCAAAGGCTCAAAGGAAGTGAGTCCCACCCAGCAGGAGTCTTTCTTTCTGATAAGGCTTATTTAGGTTCTTAAATGCCCTAGAAGCTAAATACCTTCTTTGCTGCCTCACCAACTGACAGATGGATGGGCTGGTTTTTTGTTCAGTTTTGGCACTGACCTGGGTAGTCGCCAACTGGGCAGATCCTGGAGGGAGCCAGCCTGAGTCTGACAGTCTTTCCAGGACATGGCACCCGCCTCCACCGTATGACAGAGCCCAAGAGGGGTCCTTAAAGTGAAAGGATAAAATGGAGAATATTATACATATTGAGTAATTACGTAGGTACAAGAAACCACTTCTCTAACAATAAAAATTTATTGAGTCTGAGTCCGGAGAGATGGTCAAATTTGATCACCATTATCATCAAAATCATAGTGGTTGATATTTATGTATTAATCATTCCCTATGCGCTGGGCTTTTGCTAAGCATTTTCCCGAATTATTTAATTAAATCCTCACAATGCTAAGTTGCTATCTACTATTTAATTTATTTTAAGGGTAGTCTCCTTCATTTTACAAAGAATTTCACAATAACTAATTAGTATAAATGTTTAAATGACTTCCTAGGAGGTGTTAAAAAATGAGATTGATGAATATATATTTACACGGAAAAATGTCCAGGGCATATTTTACACTGAGAAATAAACCAGACTAAAACCAAAAAAGCTGTTGCAAATGTTTCTTTTTGGCAATTTTGAACTTTCTGCAAAAAATGATTCTTTGCTTTTGTTTGTTTGGCAAGAGGAAATGTATATTATACATTTGCATACCTCATTATTTTAAAAAGATATTTTATTAATCCACTCATGAATTGATGGGCACTTGTGTTGATTCCACATCTTTGCAATTGTGAATTGTGCTGCAGTAAACATTCAAGTGCAGGTGTCTTTTTGATAAAATGACTTCTTTTCTTTTCGCTAAATACCTAGTAGTGGTATTGCTGGATGGAATGGTAGGTCTACTTTTAGTTCTTTGAGGAATCTTCATACTGTTTCTCATAAAGATTATACTTATTTTGGGTCCCACAGTGTATAAACATTCCTTTCTCGTTGCATTCATGCTAGCATCTATTGTTTTGGGACTTTTTAATAAAAGCCATTCTAATAGGGTTAAGGTGATTTTCATTTTTTTGTATGTTTATTGGCCATTTGTGTACTTTCTTTTGAAAAGCTTCAGTTAATGTCTTTTGCCCACTTTTTAGTGGAATTGTTTGTTTTTTTCTTGCTGATTTGCTTAAGTTCTTTATAGACTCTGGGTATTAGCCCTTTATCAGATGTATAGCTTGCCAATATTTTCTCCCATACTGTAGGTTGCATATTTGCTCTGTTGATTGTTTCCTTAGCTGTGCAGAAGCTTTTTAGTGGTTTATGTATACCATGGAGTACTACTGAGCCATAAAAAAGGATAAATTAATGCCTTTTGCAATAATTTGGATGGAACTGGAGATCATTCTCCTAAGTGACGTATCTCAGAATTGGAGAAACAAACACCACATGTACTCATTATCAAATTGAAACTAACCAATAAGCACACATGTGCACAGAGGGAAGTAAAACTCAGTGGAAATCAAGCAGGGAGGACCGGGTAAGAGGGGAGGAGCAAAAACCTATGTAATGGGTACAATGAACACTATCTGGGTGATGGGCACACCTATAGCCATGACTCAAGCATGACAAAAGTAATCCATGTAACCAAAAACATTTGTATCTCCTTAATATTGTGAAATTTTTCTAAAGATACTTACACACAATGAATTTATTCATTATATTCTTAACACAGTTAATTAAATTGTTACTATTGTTAATTCTAAAGAATGGGACAAAAGAGAGAAGAAAAGAAGTGAACTCTCCTCTTTGACTTTACTCAAGTCTTTTAATTAATTTAGGAGCGTTTCACTCTTCTCTTAGCTGAAGTGCAGTGGTGCCATCATAGCTCACTGCAGCCTCAAACTCCTGACCTTAAGGGATCCTCCTGCCTCAGCCTCCTGAGTAGTTAGGACTACAGGCATGTGCCACCACACTCAGCTAATTTTTCTTATTTTTTGTAGAAACAGGGTCTTTTATGTTGCTCAGGCTCATTGTGAACTTCTGGCTTCAAGCAATCCTCTTGCCTTGGCTTCCCAAAATGCTGGGACTACAGGTGTTAGCCACCACGCCAGGCCAATTATGATTTAACTACAAACACTACATTGATTTTTGTAATAGAGAACTTTTTAAGGTAAAAGTAAATCAACAAAAGATGCAATAGCCTCATCAAGTTCTAAGCATTTTTGTTATACCAACCAAATGAGTGCATCACCTAGCTTTAAAGCATCAATGTAATGACAACCCTATAAACATCCATAATTGACTAAAGCTAAGTAAACCTAACAAAAGTAAAGCTGTCTGTATCTATTTTTTAAATGACCTAAATAGATTGATCCAGATAGAGTATGATGGCAATTAGCTAATCCCTTGTAATAATTTAATGATGATGATAATAATGATGGCCAACATTTATATTGTGATTTTCAGATTTACAGATTAAAAAACAGGCTCACGGGCCGGGCGCGGTGGCTCAGGCCTGTAATCCTAGCACTCTGGGAGGCCGAGGCGGGCGGATTGCTCGAGGTCAGGAGTTCGAAACCAGCCTGAGCAAGAGCGAGACCCCGTCTCTACTATAAATAGAAATAAATTAATTGGCCAACTAATATATATAGAAAAAACTAGCCGAGCATGGTGGTGCATGGCTATAGTCCCAGCTACTTGGGAGGCTGAGACAGCAGGATTGCTTGAGCTCGGGAGTGTGAGGTTGCTGTGAGCTAGGCTGACGCCATGGCACTCACTCTAGCCTGGGCAACAAAGCGAGACTCTGTCTCAAAAAAAAAACAAAAACAAACAAACAAACAAAAAAAACATGCTCACTTATAGTCTTCATTTGACCTTTCCAGTGACCCTTTTAAGGAAATATTTTATCCTAGTAATAATAGCAGTCATCTATTAAGTACCTGCATTCCCATGTGCCAGGCATTGTACAAAGTATCTTATATATGCTATCCAATATAGTCCTCAAAACAGTCCCATAGTCTAAGCATGTATTCTGTTCGGCAGCAAGTTAAAGAAAATAAACAACAATAATGGCTCAAACAAAAGAGAAATGCATTTCTCTTCTCTAAAAGCCTGGGTAAATGGTCTAGGGCTTTTGTGGTGGTTCTAAATCATAAGGGGCCTGGGTCCCTGCTCTTGCTATGCTATCCTCAACACAGTTTGCATCTCATGGTTCAAGATGGCTGCTCCAGCTCCGCCCATCATGTCTGAATTCCAGCTACCAGAAAGCCAAAAAGGAAAAAATATGGCATCTTCCCTCCTCTTTTATGGATACTTGGAAGTTGCAAACATCACTTCTATTTTTGCCCCTTTGGCCAGAAATTAACCACATAAACACACCCTTGTGGCATGTGAAAACATGGACTTTTTTTTCTGAGAATCTGTATCTAGCTAACTTTTGGGGGTGTTTTACTGATGAAGAAGGGCAGAATATATATTGGTATAAAACTAGCAGTCTCAGTCATAATGATATGATTCTCATTCTACAAGTGAGAAGTTAATAAATATGTCCAGTGTTACACAGCTAGTAACAAATAGTGTTAAGTTTGTTTGACTCCGAAGCTCATGCTGTTTTCACTGTAGTAAACTATCTCTTGTACTCTTAATCTCTTTCCTAAAATAGTTAGAATTCTACTAATCAGATATAAAACACTATTAACCCAAAGCTCAACTAACAGAGTTACTTTTGGTTTGAGTATCTGTTTGCTGTATTAGCTATTCTGCTACCAGAAATAAAGAGACACCTCATGAATGTGTACTTTTGGTCAACACATAGTTTAAGAATAGGAGTTTCTAGGGTGAATTATAATATTTCCATTTAATAGCTGTGAAAGTGGCATTCAGTAAAGCATAATAAGGAAATCCTTGGATAAAGAGAAATAACAATCTTATACCAATCAGGACTGGCTCATACCTCAATATTAGACACCGTGTTATGTAAGATTGCATTAAATCAACTGTAGGGACGGAAAGACACCAGTTTAATGATGACAGCAATAACAATGTAATACAGCTATATGATTAATTGCATACTAAATGTTACATATCTAAGTGTTTTATGCTGTAACCGAAGTTAAGGAGATTTGTATGTGTCTACAGCTGTGCTACTGAGCACTTGAAATGTGACTTGTCCAAATTAAGGTGTGCTGTAAGTATAAAATATGCACCGAATTTGGAAGAATTAGTATAAAAGTAAGAGTCTAAAATAACTCATTAGTAATTTTTACATTAACTATATGTTGAAATGATATTTTAGCTGTATTGGGTTAAATAATATATATCATTAACTTCATTTTCACCTATTCCTTTTTACTTTTTAAATTTAGCTACTAGAAAATTTTAAATTTCGTATGTAGTTTGCATTTGAGGCTCATGGTATATATTTTTTTGAATAGTGGTCTACACAAAGAGAAGCAAAGGAGAAAACAAGGACAGAGGGTCTTCATCGATCAAGAAGAAAAAAAGGTCTCGCTATGGAACGTCTTAAATCTCCCAGTCACTAGAGAGGAAACCTCACCTTATTTCTGGGTAGTGATACTTCAACAAGATTTCTAAACATTTAGTTAAAACTCTAAAACCATCCCATTCCCTTTTTAAAGAACTCTACACTCAGGAGGGGAGAGAGGTGTGGGGGGAGAGGAACTTCCGATAACTAATTTGATTTCTTAGATGTTACAGTAGAGGAAGGAATGTCTAGGTGAAGAGACAAATGCATTGTGGTTATTGGAATGAGTATGTCCCACTGGAAGTAAACACATTGATCCTGAATCAATTTTTATACTTTTTAGTTGCAAATAATAGAAAGACCTGTTTGAGCAATGAGGAAACACATTGTTTCAACACTAATCCAGAGATAAGGCAGGTTTCTGCTTCATTTCTCTGCAGGTTTCTCAAGCTCAGCATTTCTGGGTTTGTTAGCTTTATTTTCAAATTAGGTTTAACAACATAATGAATGAGTGGTTTTATTTCTTCTTATTATTCTGTTTAATTCTTACCACATTCTTCATCATTAAAACTTCCCCAAACGTAACTACACAAATAATTTCACAGGCTTTTGTTTTATTTATTTATTCATTCAGTGAATAGGCTTATTGAGCACCTAGAGTGTGCCAGATGCAATACAGTTCTTGCTCTTATGGAGCTTGCAGTCTCTCTTTTATTATGAACAGATACAATAGACAAATGCACACAAATCATATCTTCCAATTTGTCAAAATGGTAGGGCTCTTCAATAGAACTAAAATCTACCCATGACCTAAATGCACCTCTAAAAGTTTATGTCTTTGAGATCCAGTGGCCAAATTCTGTGGGAGAGGCAACCTGGTCAGTACAAGTCAGTCTTGACAAGAAACTTGTATCAACAGGTTTTTGTGTTCTTCAGCGATTTGGATCCTTCAATGACTAATGTTCATTGAACTATGTGATGATTCCTGCCAGATTTCTTCATCAAAGGCGAAAGAGTGAGGCCTTAATTTTCTGTGAAATTATGTTTTTCTTTTTCTCTAAGAGAGACATGAAGGGGGACTTTCTAGAAAGAAGGCCACTGTCTTTTACTGCCATGGCACTATTTCTCAAAACACATCACATAGCCCCTTAGTGTTCATGAGTCCAGGGAGAAACACCTCAATCCCTCCTTTGAATGGTGAAGACTTTGACCTACTCAAATGGCACTTTAGATCCCTACCTAAATGAACCAGAAAGCCATTGCTTCAAGTTGCTGCCTTAGTGATTTTGTATATGCTGTCTCACATACAATGATCAAGTTCTTTATGTGTGAACAGAAACATGTTTAGATTAATGGCGGTTCAGTTCCAAACTATCCAAGGTTTTGGGCATCCACTGGGGGTCTTGGAATGTATCCCATGTGGATAGGGGGGACTATTGTACGTACCTATGTTATAGTATTGCATATTAAGTAAGATAATGTGTGGTAATTACTTAACACAATGAAGATTAATTTCAATAATAAAATGCAAAGATAATCATGATGATGACCATGATGATGACTACAACTATGATGATGATGATTATGATGGATGGTAATATTTTCTATTTGACAGATGCTAGTCAAGATTTTACCCTTTTCAGTTGCTGTATTGATATTCAAAGAAAACCTTTTAGATCCCCGAGTAAAGATATATGAGATGACATGGTAATAAAATTCTTAAACATTAATACATTTTGACTCAATTAGTCCAAATCTATACATATTCCCAAGCTCCAGCCTAGACCTAGTATTACCAAAGGCATCACACATGCGTTGAGATCTTTTCACTATAAGTCAGTCAACAGCTACACATTGTCTTTTCTATTTCCTCAGTAGTCTGTGAGCCCCTTGAGTTTCATCCTGGGTACTTTTCTGGCCTGTGCTTTCTTTTGGAATCTCAGTCACTTCCATAGAATCAACTCACAGTGATTCCTTACCCTGTGTTCATCTACCCAACAACCTACTGGTGGTCTCCATATGAAAGCCCCTCCCCAGTCCACCCTTACCTACACTGAGCCTTTCAAATTGGGTTTAGGTATCACCTCTTCTAGGAACCCTTCCTTTCACATCTGGTTTAAGAGCTCCTTTTTTGAGCACTTGGCACATTACATTGTACACTTTGTGTGATATGACTATTTGGTACTTCACATGCCACATATAATAATTAGTGTATCATGAATGATTAATGTCACTTGGTCCTTTACTCTTTCTATCTATATTCACACACACAAGCTCTACTGACCTTATTTATATTGAACATTCTTACAGGTTACTCATTCACTTACCTATGCTTAATGCATCTTCTGAGTTTCTGCCATCCTGTTTGTTTTCTTGTTTTCTCTAGCTGAATTAATTACCCTAAAACAATACAGCACACATTAAAGAGTATGTATTTTTAACACACAATGTCATCAATTTGAAATACTGTCTTCATCTCCAAAGAGAACTATGATCTTACATTCTTGACAGTTTACCCTTTGTTCCTAGTCCAGGTATTAGGGATTTCTAATGGAAAGGATGAACAATCTGTTTCTTTTACTCTCAAGTTGATTGACAGAAGTCAAATTAAATGGCACCTTGGTTAAGTAGTTGAGCCTCTCTGTACTTCAGGTTTTTTCTATCATAAAAGTAGGTATTATGTCAGATACATGTGAATACTGCCCTTTAAACCTCTCGGGGACATGGGGGTATGTTCAGACTGTGTTGGTTTAGCAAATCATACAAAGCGAGCATCTCTCCGGTCTAAGGATGGGAGGCAGGAAGTGAATATGTAAGTCAGCACTCAGAAAAACACCCTCTAACAGAGAAAAAAATGCTTGCCACTATGTAGTGTTCTCAAACTTTCCATGCAGTAGGCCTAGCCATGCCCTACATAATCAGTTAGTAACTAACTGACCTGCTGCTGCGTAGGGCAACCAACCATCCTCGTTTTCCCAGGATTCTTGCAGTATTAGCAGTAAAAGTTCCACACCCTAGGAAACCTCTGAGTCCAGGGAAAAATCAGAATGGTTGTTCACCCTATTTGTTGGCCTCTGCAAGCATCAGTTTTCTCAAATGTAGAGAGTGGGCATGTAGATACATTGATCACAACAGTGTTATAAGTTCTGAAGGAGATAATGTGAAAAGAGCGCTCAACAACAGCTGTACTATGAAGGCCATTATTACCATGTTTCTAGACCACCAATCTAGTTTGGGGTTTTATTATCTATGAGTGAGCTTGTGCTTATTTTAACTTTATTTAACTTTATCTTATTTTTCATGGAAACATGCAAACTATCAAAGAATGCAAGTGGTTCCTCCTTAAACTGACAGTTTTGCATTTGAAAACACACAGCATTTGTGGGTCCTCATAATGATGGCTTTATTCCCAGTGGTTCTCAAAGTGTAGTCCCTGGACCAGCAGTAACAGCACCACCTGGGACCTTCTTTGAAATATAAATTAGCAGGCTCATTCCAGATGTATTGAATTAAAACCTGTAGGGGTGGGGCCCAGAAAGCTGTGGCTCATCCAGCTCTCCAGGTGTTTTTGATGTATGTTTAAGTTTGAGAACCACTGCTCTCTTTTCCATAGTTTACAACTGCCTACACCACAGTCCATGGCCCAGGACCCCTTCACAAAAAAGGTAATCTATTAAAACTGTAGCTGCATTATTTTTGAGATAATGTAAGATTTTGAAAGTGTAAATCTTTTCTTCTTTCAATAAAAATCCCTTAAAGGTTAGATTTTTTCCTCTTCTGCATGTTCCTATACACAGCACTTGACTGCTGAGGGTTAAGGTTCAACTTGTCCATGGTGTTGACAGCAGTTTCAGTAAACATCTTCCAGGCAACTGATGCTTAGCTTCCCTGTAGTTTGCTGTAACTTAATAAAATTAGAATAGGTAAAATTTTCCCTGATCACCTAATATGATTCTCATCCTAAACTTAGAGTTTTGAAACATTTCAAATAAATGCAGAGTAAAATTTTCAATAAATGTAGCCAAATCTGACAGTTATGTTTTGAATGGCTGATTGCATGGTTTACAGCTGTTATTTAAGTGTTTCACTTTGGATGCTTAGTTACCTTCCCCTGTGAGATCTCCTTGACTACTCTCTGTTGTTACCTTTCCTTGCAGCAATGATTTCTTTGAGGGAAGTCTAATCTCATTCTCAGTGGCAGAAATTAAAGTGAGCAGTGAAACGTAAACAATATCTACTGACTTGAAATAAATATGTTTTAGACAGAAGGTCTCTGTCAAGATGTCCAGAAAACCTCTTCACAAGATAATAGTTGCGCCACAGTTTAAAAAAATATATTCTTAACAATTATGTTGCACCTCATTTAATACTGAATTATCTGCTTCTAAAAGTCAAGCCTTAATGTGTGTGGGCATCTCTTTTCAAAGGATTGCTTTAGCTTCTGAGAAGGCTTCTCTGGCATTCTCATCTTACTTGCTTTTCTCTCTCTCTTTTTTTTTCTTTCTTTTCTGTCTTTTTTTTTTTAAAGCAGTCTTTTGAGTTTACAAAGGCATCTCTTTTTTGAAGTTCTGTTTTGGCACAGGAATGAATTTAGATGAGTGATGGAACTGATGAGATGCAAAGAGGGTTATTAATCCAGGTAACAATTACACAGTGTTTGCTGTAGGGGGGTTATCATTACGCATTATCTCAATGCTCAGAAAACAGGTGATTACTATGCCTTTGAGGAGCATCTTCTCCTGCACCCCACCCTACTTCCAGCCATAATTCTATGACCTGTTTTAAACTGCAAAGAGAGATAAACTTTTTATTATGGCCATAGAGAATCAAAGAAGGATTTTTCCTAATAGATTTTAAAGGAATAGAGATGGAGAGGCTGTTTCTGGGCTACTAATTGAAATTTATGAGTTACAAGATCTGAGAGTAGGTGGAATCTTTTTTATTCTAGGGCCTATTCTCCACACCATGCATCTATTGTTACATGACTGAATGGCATAAATCAGCAGCACTTTATTTATTATGATGATGATGATTTCTCTTGCTTTTTGGGGGTTGATGACTCAGCAAGGTGGTTCTCACTTGGGGTGTCTCATGTGGTTGCAGGTGGTGATTGCAACACCTGGCACTCCTTGGGCACCTCTCTCTACTATTATGTGGTCTTTCCAGCACTGTAGCTTTAAGGTATTAGTTTTCCCACGTGGGGTTCAAAGACACACAGAGAGTTTCCAATCTGCTTTTTAGCTCCTCATTCTAAACATTTTAAACATGAACTCACAGCCAAGGATCACCAGGCATTTGAGGAAAGTGTCTAACACAAATGATAAAGACTAAACTAAAATAAAACATGGGGGGTGGGGAAGGAATTCTGAAGAAATTGTTACAATAACATATCATACAGGCTTATTCTACTCCAGTTACTATTCTAAGTGCTTGGTACATGTGAATCTCATTTGTACCTCACAACAATGCTATGTAATGAATACTCTTATTAGTTCTATTTTACTGAGAAAACTGATGAACAGAGGTCAGATAACTTGCCTAACATCATAAGCACAGTCAATGGTAGTACTAACTGGCATTTGAACTGGCTGTAGAGTCTAAGCTTCTAACCATTACACTATATACTAGAAACCATTCATGGAGAGATGGGAATAGTTTCTATAAGCAATATGCTCAGAGATAAAAATGGACTTTACACCCATGAAAAAGAACAAAACGCTATCTAAAAGGAACATTTAGGGGGGAAATTTTCTTTAAAATTAAAAAAAATTAAGCAGCACAAATAAAAACAGAAGAATTGAAAGACAAAATTTGAGAAAATCTTTCAAAAATAGAATAAGAAGCAAAGAGATGAAAATAGGTTACAAAAGACAAGAATCAGAGACCTCCTATCTAATTAACAGGAGTTCTACAAACAGGATGAGTAATAACAGGGTACATTATGAAAGAAATAATAGAATAAAATTTTTTGGAACTGAAAGACACATTTTCGGATTAAAAGGACTAATTAAGAACCTAGCATAGTGAATAAGGAAAGACCCACATCAAGGCTCATAGCCAGAAAGCCAGAGATAAAGAAAAGATCTTAAAAGTTTCCCAGAAAGAAAAATCAGCTCTTATTACAAGGATTCAAAATCAGGATCAGATTCCACCGGACTCTCAACAGCAACATGGGCCACGTTCCAGTTGGAGCATTGCCTTAAGCATTATGAGGGAAAATGATTTCCAACCTTGAATTCTGAACCATGCCAAACCACAATCAAATGTAAGGAAAGAATACAGATATTTTTTGACATGCAGTACTTCAACATATTTACCTCGCAGGTCCTCCTTCTCAAAAAGTTACTCAACCATTTGCTTCTTCGAAATGAGAGAGTAAATAAAAAAGAAGAAGACACGCAATCCAAAATGTAAGGAGTTGATTACAAATTAGAAAGGATAAGAATACTCAGAATAAGAGCAGACAGGATTTCCAGTACACACGAAGGCAGCATGCGTGGGGAGGAAAAGGACAGACTCCAGGAAGATGGTCTCCATGTAGAGTTGCACTGATAGTTCACCTAGTGTGTCTGATTTTAATAAGAGTTTAGCAGCAGTGTCAGAAAATCTGTGGGTGCATGAATGATAGGTGCATAAGCAACTAAGGAAACAAAACAGGGCAGTGCTATTTCAAAGACCAGGAATAATGAAGATTAATACAAGAAAAGAAATGTAAATTACAAAACTTGGTGTGGTTCAGCTGTGAGTGATATGCACAGTTACAGCAATGTAAATATTAAAGATTGATTTAACTCCAACATCTGCTATGAATCAAGTGGGATGATGGAAAAAGGCACATGTATTTGTGGTATGTGGCAGGAAGGGTACATTAGATTGCTAATTTTCATTTTTCATACAGGTAAATCATTCAATAATATCTAAAATTGAAAAGTCAATAGAGTTAATAGGTAGTTTAGAAATTTGGGGATACATATAAACAAATCAAGTATTGAAGATCCTGCTTTTGAAGTAGGACAATAGAGCAGGCAAGCTATTTTTATTAAAATAAAAACATTTTTATTATTTATTTTTATTAAGAGCTTTAACGTGCTATTTCACTTGTTAAAAGTATGCATATGTGTATTACTATGATGAAATTAAAAATTAAGTCTAATTGAAACTTCATTGAAATAATATTCATCAGTTTCTCTCTACCAGTATCTATGATTGTGAACAGAAACTAAAAGCTGTTGCCCCACTTGGTATGATAGTTGGTTTAACTGAAAACATCCTGTTGCAAGAAGCCTGAATTCCCTTTAAAGAGATTTCTTTCCACTTAGGCATTAAAGGCCACCTTTTTTTTTTTTTTTTAGACAGAGCTTCACTCTGTTGCCTGGGGTATCAGCCTAGCTCACAGCAACCTCAAACTCCAAAGTAATTGCTCAAGTAATCCTCCTGCCTCAGCTTACTGAGTAGCTGGGACTACAAGCATGAGCCTACATGCCTGGCTAATATATATTATATAATTTTTGTTTTGTTTTGTTTTGTTTTTTATGTGTCCAGCTAATTTCTTCTATTTTTTTAGTAGAAGACAGGGTCTCGCTTCTTGTTCAGGCTGGTCTACAACTACTGAGCTCAAACGCAATCCACCGCGGTCAGCCTCCCAGAGTGCTAGGATTAC